GAGGAAAGCATTCACACGAACGGTATATAGATAATTGAGTGAGTGAGTGAGTCAGTCAGTGAGTGAGTAAATAAATAAATAAATAGATTGTTTGGATTTCGCACATCCCGAGTCGACTGCCTGCAGGGGAGGAGGGGATAATGATCGCTCTGATAAAATAAAAAAAAGGATAGCGTGTCTTACGCAGATCGCCTCGAGTCCCCATAACCACCACGGGAGTCACCATAGCGCCACTGGTCACTACCCCTAGGTGTCCCCCGGGCCCTCTCTACAGTAATTCTGTAACAAGACACATTGGATATGCTTACTTGTCTCTCCAGGAGCGTGAGCGTCCGTAGCCACGGTCGCCTCGCCTCCCTGAAACACCCCGTGCTATCTCCACCGCCACTCTGAAACACACCCAACAAAACCCCGCCTAAGTCCTCGACTAATTCTTACTCTAATGCTGCTTCCTTCCTTTTCCTTCCATTCCTCAGCCTCCTCCCGAAATCCGTTCAAATATCATCCGTTCTCTCTCTCTTTTTCAGTATCTCTATCGTCCGGTCTCTCTTTCGCTCTCTGAGGCGCTGTCCCCTATCTCTTTCTTTCACTCCCTCTGTCACGAATCGTCCTCGTTCCCTATATTCTAGATGCCTCTTATAACGCTACTTATGTCCGAGCTAATCTTTTTCCATCAGCTTTTTCATAATTAAATTCGTGATCCCCTTAAGATTACTTAAAATTTCTTTTCTCATTTCTCTCTTTTCATTTTCTCTGCCCTTCTCTATTTTAAAGCGCAATCCTAGACGTACAATACAGGATCACGTAAGAAAATTATGAAAAAGCACATGTATCGGATGCCCTTTCGTAATAAAAGAAGCAATTACATTTCGCCAGACGCAGACATATTATTACATTTACTTTGGCGATTGTTCTCTAATCGGGGAATTGATGGAAGTAGTTCAAAATGGCGGTAAGTCGCAACGGCTTTTTAAGACGCATTTTTTTGTCACGATAAAGTTCCGATTGTTAATTTGGAGGACAGACGCCGTTTACTAAAAACGCAAAATTAACAGCATTAACGGAGCACCCGTTCAATGCCAACGAATATTTGTGCATTGTACATTTGTCTTTAATTATATAGAAGCAACAGCGAATAATATTACTGGTACGGGTTGAAACATAATGCGATTAGAGCGTTGAGAATACTCCCGTTCGACTACATTTTGTAATATTCAGAAACTATTAATTTTACCGACACACTTACATGAATTCCCAAAAGAAGAAGAGGAAAGAATATATCAACAAGTGTATGATAGAAAAACTTTTTCAAGATTTTCGTCGAGATATTTTTAACAATTTGCACGAACAAGGGATTTAACTTTTCGTCTTGTTATTTCAATGCTATTGCTTCTGATATATTGATATATTAGATAAAATAGTCGATTGAAGTAACGCAAAGTCGACATTGAACTGTGTTTACTTAAGATAACAAGAAACAGAAATAAAGTTATAATATAAGAGAATATTACATATAATTCTGTAATAAATATCATATAAGAACGCCGCTGAAAAAAGAACTGTTATAAATTAACCATATATTAAGATATATTAAACATTTTGATAAGTAACTTTCATTAATCTTAATAGCAGCAAGTTAATCGTGTAAGCTGAACTGCTTTTCCTTATCTTTTGTCCCTCTATAAAGATGAAAAATGTCCTCCCGTGTTTGCTACTGATAACAGAGCGTCAAGTCAGAAAACTGTTCATTGCACAACCGACTTGGTTACTTGTCTATCAACATTTGACGCTAATGACGGATTAAGTTAATTTACAAATGACATTTCAGAAACAGTAGAAAGGAACTATATCTATTATGCACTATTAGTTAACTCGGACAAGTTTAATCGATTCTACGTGTTAGCATAATGAATTTATTATGATGCATAGAACTCGTTTGCTCTTAAGCAGAGTGTACCCCCAGTACCAATAATATTATGATTATGATAAAGTTCAAACAGCGTGATCGATCAATCCACATACTAAATGGATTGTATGTAAGAGCTATTCAGTCATGCAAAAAAACATGCTACCTATACCATTCCGTCATACGGCTAATGTAAATCGCCTAGTACACGTATTTTTCAAAGAACACATATATTATGTAAGACAGAATCGCATTACCTTTCCCCTAGAAGTTCCTTGCCATTGAGTTCATAAACCGCGTCGTCGGCGTCTCTGTAGTCGTCGAATTCCTGCAAAAAGAATTTTTCCACTATCATTTGGGAACGCAATGCAGCTTCATTTATTAGTTTTCTACTTTTTAAGCTACTTCTACTGCAATAAAAGACTTTCAAGGATAACGCTCGATATCTGTACAATTGATATTTTTTACGAAAGAGAATTTAGAATATTAATCGGTGTGTTGCAAAATATTTCTCTTAAATTCATGAATGTTATAAATATTATTGGATTATTTATAAAGTGTAGACATGTAAGGAATGTTAATGGTGTTAATAGGATTTCATTAATAGCAATAACAAGATTTCATATTCGCGAATTTTAAAGAATTTTTCATGTAGGTATTTTTCCTTCACTTGTATCCTGCAAAAGTTTTAAGATAGAATATATCGCTATTTAAAATCTAAATACATATATAAATTATATATATATATATATATATATATTATCAAACAATTACCGCAAAAGTGCAAAAGACTTGAATCGACATAGGTGCTTGAGTTATTGATAAAGATAATTATTCTGTAATATATGGGCCTCATTGTAAAGAATTCCTTTCCCCTGGTCATACATAACTTACAAAGTTTTTGCAGAATAATCGACGAATAAGCAGCACACAGCTCCTCTAAACAGCCACAGCCAATGTGCTCAGGGCTCGGGTCAGGTCAACTCAGGTAATCGAGTTACGTTTGCGATTTTAACACATTGCAGCCTACCCATTTCGGTCCAAATCATGATAGTAAAAGATAGAACGGACTGTTCTCTCCAATATAAATTTATCACCTTTACGACTGTATTGTTATATCGACATGAAAGGCTTGCAGTGCCAAGTACAAAATTCATCATGATGAAATGTGGCAAAGGAAAACACAATCTTATTTATTCACATGCACTCAACACTTCATATGTGTCTATGCATATGCTCTTATGTACAAAAGGAACATGTCCAAAAGCACTTAAAACTGTGAATAACAATTAAAAAAAAAAAAAAACAAAGCTAAGGAAGTATCGCAACTTGTTTCAGCGCTTAACTCTAAGAGTACATCGGTTACAGACAGCTGTTGTTGAAACAAAGAACTTGCAAGCAGTGTTAAAGCTACAAACTAATTCAAGATTATCATGGGACCAAATTGAGCAATGCGAAGTGTTATTGTGGGTTTATTTACAGCTGATTACAAATACTTACAACAAAGCCGTAACCATTCTTGATGAGAACATCACGAAAACGACCGTAGCCTCTGAAAAATCTCTCAAGGTCTCTTTCCCTGGTCCCATACGGAAGCCCACCGACATAGACTCTTGTCCCTACCATACTGTAAAAAAAACAATTAAACCACATTAGACTTACCACAAAGGCAAATCCATTCTTCATAGCGACCTCCTTGATTCTACCATATTTCCGGAAGAACTTCTCGAGATCGCGCTCTCTCACCCGGTACGTTAATCCACCAACGAATACTCGGGTGCTCATTCTTAAAGGAAAATATAAAAACACCTTACATAACGGGCTACCTAAGGAATCCGCCGCTTAGTCACAACATAAAAGAATCGTGAGCTTATGAGAATCTAACTGAGACGTAAATGAATCTAAATTCCCTTCAGAACGAATAGCAGTCTAATGGCGTTTTGCCTCATACAAATCCTCCGTTAAATATGTAAACTCAAATATACATAACTCAGGTATAAATTTTTCTTTAAACAACAAAGATATGCTTATAATATTGCCCAATAGCGATTATAGCGCATAAACACATGAAAAGCGTTATTATTAATTACCCGTCGTACACTTTAAGGTGAAACAAAGCGCTCAAGGTATTCAGATTTTTAACAATACGTGGGAAATGCGTCGCAACATGAGGCGCGTGTGTCCTGAAACGCGCAGCACCGTCTTATCGAGCGGCCTTCGCGCGCCGTTATACCGTAAAAAACGGTCGATGTATGAAGGTATGCGCGATTGAATTCCAAAGAAAGGAAAAGCAAGCAGCTCTCTCGCTGCGCCGTTGAGCGACGAGCGAGGGACGTCGGACCTTCCAGAATTTTCGATGGCGTCGGCCATGACGAGCGTCGGGGATCGGCGATCGATACGAGAGCATGTTGATTAATTGCGTCGCGGAGTATTTCCCGTGGATTCCGTAATGGCCGCGGTGAGTGACTCGCGCGTTTCAATTGCAGATGCTCCCGACGCGGCTAACAATTACAAGCGAACGTGCGAGGTGCGGACGCTCCATTTTCCCTCGTAAAATCTACGACATTAATCATAATGCGGCCGCGTGTGCATCATCGCACTCCGTTTCCTCGAAAGATGGTGGGACGCGAGCGAAAGCTGGCGTACGATTAACCTTTTTTTTTTTTTTACTTTTGTTCCTTAGCTCGCACTTCTCTACGGGCTTTAATGCTGATAGAAGAGACTGGGCTAATGTTCTGTTCGCTTACCTGGACGCACACGTCAACTCCGATCACTTTGTTCACTACTGATGAACGTAAGAGCGCTCTATCCCTCGATGCGTGGTTAGCGAAATTGGCGGACGAAATGACCGATGTCTCAGGCGCGACCAAGATGGCTCGTAGGAACAACGGAAATGGACAGACACGAGACGGGGGTTCACACGGCTGCGCGCAGGGACTGCGCACAGGCTCTGCCATGACGAGTCTCGACGCCAGACGCACGCCAAAGTCAACGTAGTGACTGTGCGACGCACGCGACGGTATCGACGTGTCTATCCACGAGTGAATTTCTTCCGTAAAATCGAGAACGAAATATAACAAGCGTACACGTCGCGAAATAACGCCGTTTCAGCATGTCTGAACGAGTGCGATCGGTCAGACTCCCCCCCCCCTCTCCTGGGCGATCCATTCGCCACGTGCACTTAACCATCACAGAGAGAGGTATTTCGATTCGATAAAATTGTGAGATTTTTGTGAGTATACTCGCGATGTCTTTTGGGTGATTAATTGACTTTTATTGTTACAAAGTAGGTTGCATCAATTAATAGTTACGACACTTCCGGTGTGGGTTCGAGGCTAGAGGTGCATGGCGCGCATGAGCGGAAGTTCGATCAGCAAGACGGCCAGTTTGAATCACGGAGTGATTACAACAACGGCGACCTGATAAGAGGGAAGGAGAAATGGCATTTCTACGGAATAGCTTCAAATATCGAGGTAAGAGTTTCGAAATATTATCAATCCGAACAAAATTGATTAATGAATCAATGTGTTGTAATCGTTCGGAGTCGCGGTAATATGACAGAGGTGATGAAATGAATTTTTCGGAAAGTAAAGGCTATCACACACAAAATTCCGTAAGAACTTAGGTTGCATTCCAAAACGTTCTTTTTGAGGAAAATTTTACTCAATAACTATAGTTCACATATACTATAGAGTATCGAGTAAAATTTCCTCAAAAAAAACGTTTTGGAACGCAACCTTAAATCGTAAGCGTAAGGAAATCGACCAATCCCAATCGAGTATTCGGCTCTTCGTAATAATGGAGATGTTACGAATAGCCGAGTGCTCGATTGGGATTGGTCGATTTCTTTACGCTTAAGTTCTTATGGAATTTTGTGTGTGATGGCTTTAATTATGGTTGATCCACTTCGAACATCGAAGTACAAATTTTATGATATTATCGATTGAATCGAGCAAATACGTTAATCGGGCTATAATCGACACTTGATTGTGATATGTATTATGCAGGGTTGGGAAGTAACGCGTTACTTGTAACGACGTTACTATTTCGTTACTTTTTTTTGGTAACGATTTGGTAACGCCGTTACTTTTTTGTATCAGTAACGAAAAAGTAACGGCGTTACATTTTCTTTAGTAACGAGTAACGAAATTCATCGTTACTTGTATCGCTACTTTTTTACTATAGTGACTTCTGTACACAGAACGCGGCAACGCTTGTCACGCGACGAAAGTTTGCACACGATAAACAATTAATGTGCTGCTTTCCGTAAAGCCCATTCTACAATAAGCAATAAATCTTAAGTCATAATAAAATTGACCAATCATAGTCGACTATTAGAAGAATAATCCACTGTAATTAATCAATTTTATTGCGACTTAAAACTTATTGCTTATTGTAGAAAGCCTCTAAAGCGTGGTCTACAATGAGAACTTAAGCCATAAAATTTAAGCTTTAAGCCGTAAGAAATTGACTAGTCAATTATTTTTCTTATAATTGACTGTGATTGGTCAACTTCTTACGGCTTAGGACTTAAAGCTTAAATTTTATGGCTTAAGTTCTCATTGTAGACCACGCTTAAGGGACGCCGCACACGAATTGACATAACAGTAACGTAAGACGTATCGTAAAAATTGACCAATCACTTTGAGCATCGTCGAACCGTAAGGTCGCCATTTTTGTGAATACTCGATTGTAATTGGTCCATTTTTACGGTACGTCTTACGTTACTGTTATGTCAATTTGTGTGCGGCGCCCCTAAAGCCCATTCTACATTAATCGCAATCGCAAGATCGCAAGGAAATTGACCAATTGTAATTGATTATTTTTCGATCGCAAGAAGAACAATCGACTATGATTAGTCAATTTCTTTGCGACCTTGCTATTTGCGACTAATATAGAATGGGTTTTATGTTATGCAAGAATGTGTGCTTCCCGCTTAAATATCTTATATTTTGTCTTTATATATGTATAATTTATGTACTATCTCTCTTATTATTTGTTTTATAAGCCGATTTTAACTTTTTTTTTTACAAAAGTAATGGAAAGTAACGATTTTTTTATCGTTACTTTTCAAATAACGGTAACGCGTTACTTTTTAGAATCAGTAACGAGTAACAGTAACGAGTTATGGCTCTCGCAGCTAGCGCGATTTGCGACGCGACACGCGATATGCGATGCGCGATATCCAATGAGCGTACAGCTTTTCCGGAATACCAATACGCTCATTGGATATCGCTCGTCGCATATCGTGTGTCGCGTCGCGCATCGCACTGGTCTGCGAAAGCCATTACTTTTTACCGCAAGTAACGGCAACGGTAACGCGTTACTTTTAAAAAGTAACGTTCCCAACCCTGGTATTATGTATATCCTTAATACGGTTGGAATATTGAATAAATATATTTATTGTCACCCTCTCCTCCCCTCTCTTATTTTTTTATGTATAATTGTCACATTATAAGAATTAGTCATATTATATGGGATGTTCAAAAAGAGAAAACATTTTGCTTTGAATGAATATTGCTATAGACGTACACAACAGTCTGTATTTGTGACTAACAATAGAATTTCGACAATCGACATAAGGTCCATTTTTCCGTACCTGTGCTGTCGACAATTGAACTAATATCTTTATCAAAATTATTTTTCAATTCTTACGTTAGTCATCAGTTTTTTCTCATCAATATATTTTACAAAACGGTACATATTTAAGAAATATCCACATTTTGCGTCAGTCGAGATTAATCGCGTTCGTATATATTCTAAAATAATTTGAAATTCGGACATAACTTTCAAAATTTCGGTATTGAGAAGTATACAGAAACGAAAGATCGTCAAGAAAGAAGCGCACAGGCGCGATCAGCGCCACCTACTGAAAACAAAAATGGTAGCCAGCAATATGCCCTATCCCTGCCCTGCTTTAATGGCACGCCAAATGTCTGCGTTCTCTAGGCTCCTTTCTGCTATGTATTCCCTTCCGACTGATATATCTAATTTCGCTGTGGACAGAGGGACTCGCATTGCCGCAGTAGACTCTGTTTCCCGTGCGAAATAAGTGGTACCCGCTTCTAACCAAAACAGAACAGAAGGTGAAAGCAAAACTTGAAATATTTAACAGAATTATAACCGCACCAGCTCGATACGACGTGTCATTCGCCTTATATAATGAAATTAGCCGCATACGATCTCGCATGGCAGTTTCACACCCGTAATACGCATTATCCGTTGGTGAAAATGCGGAAAATATCTAAGTATAATAGTAGGCCTCATGAAGATCATTCCTTATAACTTGCTATCGCGAAACGGGAAAAAGCACATTTTATTTTGTTACGTTAGTAGATCGTGACTGCTCGTATCTCATCAATATATATTTCTGTAATTATTTTATGTTTGCACTATGGCCTGCATCTGTTGAGTTTCCATTCAGTGAGTTTTGTTGAATTTGTAGACAAGTAGAACTTATATTACTTTGCCAACATATATGTATGTATATATATATTGATATATATATATATATATACTTTTAGTATATATAAATTAACTAGATTGAGTGTCAAAAAATTGCATGCTGCAAGGAATGAAGGATCGACTTTTATTGTCTCGATACTTGTGTATGCTCAGAAATAAGAAATTATTTCTTTAATATAAAGATTCTATAATCATATTTTATTTTTCTCTATTGTGATAGATTGTTGAGTTTTGTGTACAGTGGTAATGTCCGATAGAGCAAACACAATGAAGTTGGAAGCTGAAATGGCTACACCGTTGCATCTGCAAAGATTAGAACGTAGCCTCAATTTAGAACCTTTCTTGAGGCAAATCAATGATCTTTTTCAAGAACAAGCTAGGTAATAAGATATCTTTTGTTAATTATCAGTATTGCTAGCTTATGATATGCTAGTAGTGTATATGACAAATTAATATCACATAAAACATTACATATTATGTTTTTATCTTTTAGTGAAGATGACAAGTCTGTCTCATCAGAATCTTCTGATGGTTCAGATGCTTACATTGAAAATGTACTCACTCGTAAAGAAGGTTAATATTGTAATGTAATTATAATTCTATCTGAATGACTTAGTTATCAGTTTCTCATAAAATCTATTTGTTCTTACAGAAACAAGAATCAATAAACTAAGAGTATACAACATGTCAAGTGTGGGAGAAGAACGACGATGGTTACAGGATATTCTATTAAGTGATTCTTCTGACAGTTCTGCATCAGGTTCTGATACAGATAGCCCAATCACAGAGGAAGATTTTCAAGAGATGTTGAAAGTTCATATATTACGAAAGAAATATCAAGGCCGTTTCTATCAAAAACCAGAAGTAAGATCATGATTAGATTATAATTGAATATTAATCAAAATTACATACATTATTATTACTTTCAGAATATACAATATCAATATTACAGTGCAGGTTTACTGTCAAATTATGATAGATTTTTAGAACATCAAAAACTAATTGTAGGAAATAAAAAAAAGAAAGAGAAAAAACCTGACAAAAAAATCATGAAAATTAAAAAGGAAAAAATTAATCGTCATCGAACATCTGAAGAATATCATGTATGTACTGAGCTTTATCTTGCTTTTACCTATTCATATGTTCTGCACTTATTTTATAAAAATCATTATGCTTTTAGAAAGGAGATTTTCCAGGAGGAGAATGGGATAAATCAATCCCTAGGGAGGAAGAATTAGACGAGGCTGAATTAGAGGCTATAATGCGTCATCAGCCACGAGCTAGAGGGAGAAAGAAACATAATACTAAAAGTGCAGAAGTAATGACGATGAGAAGAAAAAAAATATGGGTTATGATGTCTAAGAAAGAATTAGGCAAAGTACAACGGGCAAAATCTAATAATCATAAGGAAATGCTAATAAGTTGTAAAAAGGTAGCACAGCATTGCATGAAATATTGGAGACAAAAAGCTATGCAGGTGAGTACTGGTTTAATATTTATGTTTTTAATATTCTTGAGTTAGAACTCTCTACACAATTTATTTATGTTATTTCTTTTTATTTTCATAATTTAGTCGCAGAAAAATATGAAGGAGACTATTTGGAGGGCTAAACGTTTGACAAGAGAAATGCAGTCTTACTGGAAACGTTATGATCGAGTCGAGCGGGAAACTAGGAAAAGATTAGAAAAAGAAGCTGAGGAGCAACGTAAAATGGATGTAGAACTAATTGAAGTAAGAGAACACTGAGTCAGTTGCATGTTAGTTTCCTGAAATATTTTGTAGAGTTTGAAAGAAGTACATCGTTTGTTTCAGGCAAAACGTCAGCAAAGGAAATTGAACTTTCTAATCACTCAAACAGAATTGTACGCGCATTTTATGTCACGAAAACTAGGCAAAGCATCACCCGAAGAACAGCTAAGAATCCTGAATCAACTAGACGAAGAAAAGAATCCCAGGCTTATTGGTATCGACGATTACGATAGGTATTTAAACCGTTAATGTAGAATTTTATGCTTAAAGTTAGCATTTTTTAATAGCTATTGCATGTAATAAAAAAATATTAAGATTTTTTATTTTATTAAATTGTGCAGTGAGGTCATGAAACTGAAAGCAAAGAGAAATGCTACCGAAGCATTTGATAATGAGAAAGCCAGGACTAAGCAATTTGATACAGTCACTACGTCTCAAGAATTGCGTCTCAGCGACACACCTGACAATTTGGAACACCCTCAACCCTCAATTTTCAAAGGGAATCTGAAAGGTTATCAATTGAAAGGAATGAATTGGTTGGCGAACTTGTATGATCAGGTTTGTAATCCATATAATCCATTGTATATATATTGATATATACCGAAATTGCGATATCTATATTATGTAAGTATAATTTTTTTTAAATTACTTTATCATTTGGTTGCAGGGTATCAGTGGAATATTAGCTGACGAAATGGGTCTGGGAAAAACTGTGCAATCTATAGCATTTTTGTGTCATGTTGCTGAAAGATATTGTAAGTATCTATAGAGAGTAAATTTAGTTATTATAAATTGATATTGAATATATATATGTTGTACTTGTCAAAGCTTTAAAAAAAAACAGTTGACAGTGATGACATACCTTAATTATTGATCTTTTCTAGCCGTTTGGGGACCATTCTTAATTATATCACCAGCTTCGACACTACATAACTGGCAACAAGAAATGGCAAGATTTGTACCAGTATTCAAGGTGGTTCCATATTGGGGTAACCCTCAAGAACGCAAAATACTGAGACAGTTTTGGGACACTAAAGATTTGCATACAAAAGAAGCATCTTTCCATGTAGTGATTACAAGTTATCAGTTAATAATTACGGATTATAAGTACTTTAATAGAATAAAGTGGCAATACATGATTTTGGATGAAGCACAAGCTATAAAAAGCACAAGCAGGTATGTTATTTTATTCTTTCCATTGCTTCGTGATAACTGTATATTACAATCACTAACCGTAATATTTTTAATAGTATGCGATGGAAATTGTTATTGGGATTCAGTTGCCGTAATAGATTATTGCTTAGTGGTACTCCAATACAAAATAGTATGGCAGAATTATGGGCATTGTTACATTTTATTATGCCGACTTTGTTTGATTCGCATGACGAATTTAACGAATGGTTCTCAAAAGATATTGAAAATCACGCGGAAAATAAAACGGGCATAGATGAGAGTGAGTAATATATTGCAATACACAAGTAATTTAATAAAATACACATTAAAACTAAGTACACAGATGTATGTTTTTAACTAAAAGAGAGATCATGTATATTTCAATTAAAATAATATTCTATATTCCGTGTTAGAACACTTGTCAAGGCTGCATATGATTCTTAAACCTTTTATGTTACGAAGAATAAAAAAGGACGTAGAAAATGAACTATCCGATAAGATTGAAGTAATGGTGTATTGTCCGCTTACAACGCGTCAAAAATTGCTTTATTCAGGTAAAATTTGTTTTCACATTCTCAAATATTATATTAAATAAAATCAAATAACGTTAATACATTTCTGTCATTTGTAGCGTTGAAAAAAAAAATTAGGATAGAGGATTTACTGCATTACACAGTAGGTGGAGGGGACACTGCATCTAACGACAAAAATTTTACTTCCAATCTAATGAATCTAGTCATGCAGTTCCGAAAGGTATGTATTTTTAACGATGTATCTCATGTGTAATGTATAGTCAGCTTTATTCGTAATTCTTAATTGTAATAACTGTATTTATACAATACTGTGTAGTTCTCAAAAGTGAGTCTAATTATGTACAATTTACAGGTCTGTAATCATCCAGAACTCTTTGAACGTAGAGACGCTAAATCGCCGTTCTTTATGAACACTGAATTATATAATCTGCCCGTTTTGCTGTATAACGAGGGACTTTTGCATCTAGCATTACCATCCAAGGATCATTTGTTGTCTAATAAGTTGTTTATATTCGCAGCTGAATATATTCACCGTGCTATTCAGTGCAATGAAAATTCATACGAAAATACTTTTTCATTTAGTAGATTTATTAACTTATCTCCGATGGAAATGAATAAGATTTTTATCGCTGGAACTTTATTTAGGTATGTAAAAATAAAAACCTGTTTTACAAGAACAATGAATTCTTTATATTAATTACAATTTTCATTATATATTTTTTTGTGTGTTTCAGATTATACATAATAACGTTAATGAAAAGAAGGTTAAAAATGGTACAGTACTGGGAGAATTGGAGCGTTGATAACAGATCGAGAATACCCACGAATCAAATGTTTTACTTGCCTAGAAAAATTGAGGCTTTAGCGTCGACGTCGCAAGATTTACTGTTTACGAGAAAGATAATTGAGGGCGAGACTTTGTATGTACACACCACCCATACGATACATTCGATGCCGGAAACTGTCGCTCACAGGATACTGCGTAGCAGTAAAAAATCTGCTAATCAATTGATGAAAGTAAGTACGATTTATTTACATCATATAATACATTTTGAAAGTTTGAAGCACGCGAATTAATATGTTTAAATACTTAGTTACAGAGAATACTTCCTGTTGGCAAGGCAGAACAAGCGGAAGACTCAAAGTTAGCTTTGCTGCCTGAACATCCGCATCATCCGCGACAACCTATAATGCGATATTGCCAAGAGACAATGATTCCCGCCTTTGTTTGCGATAAGAATCCCAAGGTAACAACGTTTTTTTTATGCAACATTCGTGCGCGGAACAAATAAACGAAGAATTGTGTATTTATATTAACCGGTCTTATTGCAGGTTCAAGCTAGTCCGCGTAAATTATATGTTAGTAGTAGTTCCGCGGCATGTGCTTGGAAAAGGCATGAAGAATGTGGCGGATTATTTGGTCAAAAATTACTTTGGTTCGGCTGTGAACGAGCACTTTCTTCAACAGAAAAAAATCCGAGTATGCGCATCGGTCAAACAACGTCAACGTTTTGCTATCAGCCGCCGGGAGGATTGTCCGCGTGTGCTCCTGTTAATGGATGGTCAAATATCATTGTGCCAGGCATGTTAAATATATTTTGACGAGGGCGATGATGTTCAAATTATTATCGGAACGCATACTTTGTTGTTTACGTCTTTTATTTAATCATATTGAGAGAAGTGAATTAGGTAACTGTGTTAAGTATAAATTGAATCATTTTAGATAAGCAAACATTAGTAACGGACGCCGGCAAGTTATCCGTACTAGACAGCCTCTTGCGACGCCTGAAAGAGCAAGGACACAGAGTGCTCATTTACTCTCAAATGACGAAAATGATCGATTTACTTGAGGTACTTTTATTCACTTGCTGCATGCAAATAGCCGGTTTATGACTATAATCTTATGAGTATAAATATTATGTTTCGCAGGAGTACATGTATCACAGGAAACATACTTTCATGAGATTGGATGGTTCGTCAAAAATATCGGATCGCCGGGACATGGTAGCGGATTTTCAGAAAAGGTAATTATGTTGTCTTTATTTATAACTCATTGCAATGAGATCTTGTGCATTCCTGTCCGGTGAACTCGAATATTTCTTTGTTACGGACAGATTGCATGACAGTTTTCACTTTTCGGAGAACTTTGCGTCAATTGCGCGTTAATAATAACAAGAACCCGAGAAAGTTGTCGTGCTGATCAGAATATCTGTCGTCCTCTAACAGTATCCAGTTGCATATTTAAAGCACGACTCTGAGATCGCATGTCCATGTGGTTCAGCGGCGCATAACTAATACGCGAATTAATTGGCGAATCGTCCCCATCTTGCAGACAGCTGCAGGCTTCTGAATGCACGATTGTCACGAACCTGAAGCTCTAACGGTGGACTATTATTAGGCAAAAATTAATTATTATAATAGTCCACCGGATTTTTGTTCAAGTTCTTCTTAAATACATAAACAAGTATATTTCTTTATGTCGCGATTGAATATTAAATAGCAGGTGAAATATAATTTTTTTTTAATAATTTATCAATTTCTCATTCAATGAAAGTACTTTTCGGTAATTATGCGTTATAATTTAATTTTATATATTTAGAGATAGATAAACAATGATGATCACAAATAAGAAAATACCATGTCGTTTAAGTCCTCGAAATCTTAAATACGATTAGATCGCAAATGCTGGGTGAGGATTTCATTTCAGAAATCCCTCAAATGTCGGTAGCTCGAATTAATTTACATATAAAACGGCCAATGTCGTTGTTCCTCGGCATGGTTGTTAAATTCGCGGGTCTGTTTCATGTTTCAGAGCGGACATATTCGTCTTTCTGCTCAGCACTAGAGCTGGCGGCCTGGGAATAAACCTCACCGCAGCAGACACGGTAAGCAATTCTATTCTTTCGGTAATCCATCTTTTATGTACTTATACATGGGAACGTTATAAATTGTCTAAAAATGAAATAAAAATTGAAATGAATTATAAGTATTTATACATTTATAAAATTGTTTAATATCACGAACACAAAAAATGGCTCGAATTGCTTATACAAGTTATACCTTCGACATTGATTACGTTGCAACTTGAATTCGCGTTTTAGCTTTTACATCTAAATTTATGTAGCCTTTGTCATAAAACACTTATATGGATTTTATTAAGCATTAAGGTGCGTTTGTAATGCGACAGAAAGAGGATTGTGTATTGATTTATCGCGTGTAAGGACTATCACGATGACCTGAACTCGCTCGTGCATCTATTAGTTAGAAATTACGGATTTTTTTTCATGTACATTGAAATTGCAACACTAACGAAACCTACTTACAGGTCATATTTTACGACAGCGATTGGAACCCCACGGTAGATCAACAAGCTATGGATCGTGCCCACAGGCTGGGGCAGACAAAGCAAGTCACGGTCTACCGATTAATATGCAAAGGAACTATCGAAGAGCGAATTCTGCAGAGGGCACGCGAGAAGAGCGAGGTTTGTTTGATAGATTGATGACCATTGAATGATTGCTAAAATCAAGTAAGGCGTACGTGAATATGAGGTTATCGTACATTATAGATCCAACGCATGGTTATAAGCGGCGGGAATTTCAAGCCCGATACTCTGAAACCCAAGGAAGTGGTCTCGCTTCTATTGGACGATGAAGAAATCGAAGCTAAATGTAAGTACTCACATCACTTTGCTAATTCAGCACTAAGATTAGTCAGCTTAGATTGATAAATTGTGATCCATTTAAACTCTATTGTCGAACACAACGTGGTTTTCTATCTGCATTATAAAAGCTTTGTGAAAAATGGATTAATCTTAATTACATGAATTAGACTTCTAATGAAATTTTCGGTGAGAGATTTGAGTCAGAATAGTGTATATCTTTAATAACCCGATCAGCGCTTCGTCGTTGAAATTAAAGTCTGCAGCGGCCTGTATACCGTTCAGTAAGGCAGCAATTTCATTTGTCGGGGTGATCGTTGGATTGTCGAGTTTATATTCGCCACAGCTATCGGCCGCTTTATCGTATTCACATGGCGGGACGCGCGTGTATGCACAAACGCGTCGAAAATGCGAGCGAGCGGGAGGGGGCGGCTGAGGTGGCCGCGATTACATTATGCTCGTTAGGTTATGCTAATGGCCTAATGAGGAATAATAATAAGAAACGGAGTAACGAACTTGCCGCTTGCGTCCCCATGTTCAAGCCTGTACGTCCGTATATTTCAGACAGCCAACGAAGCGAGGAGAGAAAGCAGCAACGAGCGGAGGAGGTTCGCCTTGAGTCGAACCTACAGCACAAGGAGAAGGACCGGAAGAGGAAGTTAACCGCGCTTCCGGTCAAGGTGAGCCCGGCGCCCTTACACACCGCTATCGGTCGCGTCGCGAAGATTTCTTTTTCGTTGTGTTTTCTCGCCTAACCACCACTCTTTCGTTCCCACCTATTACCGCTCCTGCTTCTCGTTCCCCTTAATATCACGCTATCGGCTCGCAGCTGAATTTACCCGGAATCGTTGATTATCGTACCGGAGAATTAATTCGACTCGCTGAGCTCACACGATCGGGCCGATAAATTGTCTGAAAATGTTCAGTCTGCGATGTGAGTCGAAATTGAGAACCGTTAATTGGGTATAACGTTTCATTATGACGGAACAGTAGATCGGTAGATTATACTTTTCGCACGATTCGATTGTACTCTTCAACGCGACCTTTATTTTTTAGAACGACGCGAAGAAGCAATGCCTCGCCGACGCTAATGGCGACAAAAACAACGATGCCGTTCAAATTAATGTTAATGAACCTAAACCGGCCGTCAATCCGATTCAGTCACAGCACCAGAACAATCACCATCAGCAGCAACAGTTAGAAAGTGCGGATAATTACAGCACGCCGACCAGCCCGGCCAAGTCAGAGGTACGAAGCTACAGCGTTACAAATTATTTAGGTGTCCTTTTCGTTTCACCAATCATTCACTTTTCGTATTTTTATCATACACTCATTATCATTACTTGTATATTATATATAGAATGTGAGTGTTGAGGATACATTAAATAAAATTGTTCTCTGAAGTTATTTTCGAAGAATACGATTAAGTTCTAGTGATTTTCCAGCGTGATTTATCATTTATTTACTCCGGAAACACGTGATAACAGGTCTGTTCTTTTTAGTTAAATTGCTTGAACATTTTGCACACTGGTGCAATAAGTTAAAACAAAATATACTTGTCTCGTCCTAACTGACTGCATCAGTGTGTGCCAGTTCACACAGTTCAGATAGTTAAAAAGAATAGATCTATTGTTATCTCGATACCGCGAAAATTCAAGAAACGAGTCTCTGATCTCTGTGGTCTCTCTTTGTTACAGGACGAAACAAGCAATGAGGGTCTGGTGGTGGACGTAGACGGCCCGGTGGCAGCTTCCGGTGGCGAGGCCCGCCAAGCTCGAGGCAATCCTCAGTTTGGCGAACCGTCCAAGGTCGCTCGACTCGGTCACCACTTTGCTTTCGGCGTGAATGCCGGCGCGCGTATGCGACAATCTGTGCGTGGTGCCAGCAAACGTGGTAGACCAAGAGGTTCCCGTAGAGGAGGCCCGATCGGCGGTAAAGGCAGAGGTCTGCATCTTCCGCATCCATCGTCCAAGTCTGGCAACGCAGTAGACAGTCAATCTCCACCTTCCTTGTCGCCAACCGGTGGTGGCAATGGTGCTGGTTCCTCCAGCGAACAGACGGTGCAGCAGGGTGAGTCCTAGTTTTTCTATGATCACGATGCATATCTACGTCGCCCATTGCCGAAGAGTCGGCAATATCAATAGATCAAATATATCAATAGATATCAAGAGAAACAGCGACATATAAAAATCATACACGTCGAGATCGCATACGGAAAAAATATCAGTTTGGATGTCTGAGTGAGGACTAGACGAAAAATTCATCGACAAGAAGTAATATCTCTGTAACTGTAATTGAATACATTTAACAGTAATTGAATACATTTGACTGTAATTGAATACATTTGAATACATTTAACAGTCTGAACATTCAGTTGCATTAAAATTCGATTGAAATAGCTGAAAGAGCAATTGACTGAGTAAAAACCTCTCACAGAAATCTTTCTGTTCCTGCAACTGAATTTTTCGTCTGGTGCCCAAGTAATGAACATTTAGAAACACTGAAGTTACACCAACGAATTTGTTTTTTCCGAGAGATAAATTTTAGCAGCAAATATTTGTTTTCGAACGATTACGACTATTAACGTGTCCGAGATTTACCCCAGTACGATAAATAAATAAAAAAGAATCATATATCCACCTCGCGTACAGGCTGATATCATCGGGCTGACAATTATTGTCGCGTTTATTAACGCTCTCGTGCGTTCGTGGTTGTGTTACGCGCGCGACTGTATAAATATTAATTAGCCGTGATCACATAATCCACCCTGTCGACCGTTATAACGTACACGTTCACGCAATTCTCAACCTGACCGTAATCGCTCCTGGCTCTATCAGGTCCGATTATCGGGTGAAATTCGCCACTAGCAACGCGCAAAAATGCCCGTAATTAATAACGCGCGCGCGCGCGCGTTTCACTCAAGGCGCGGATTTCACCGGATTTTTGAGGAGATATCGTTTCGGAGTAAGAACGTAGACAACTAAATGCAACAAAATCGGAATTTACGTGGGAGCTCGTCGATCCGAAAGAACGATACGAGAAAAATTTCGCGAACGCGCCGTCCAATCGATAATCGCCGTTAATCCCGCGACTCTCTCATGCGTCGGTCCCTCCGTCGCGCTATCACCGGGTGTTATCCTTCACCCGGGCACTTGGCCGGGTTCTCAGGGGATTTTGCAGCTCGGAAGAAGAACGCCCGTGGGTCCATCGCGACCCTATTCGCCAGCCTGTGCCGAAATTCCCTCGCGAGCACATGTGCACATGTGACGATTGTCCGAGGGGGGCTAACAGTTGGCACTCTCCTCCACGGGGCACACGCGCCGCGCGGGCACCCTCGGAGACACCCAGCCTCCCCCCTTTGAAATTTCCCGTGACTCATTCCGCTGCGACTTGCTCCGATCGGGCGCGAAATCCGCTTCGGCGGGGTGTAGGGAGAAAGCCGGCCGAGGCGAGCGTTTGTCACGAACAAGTGCGGCGCAAATGTATCTTGATGATGCAGGACGCTTCGGGAAAGAGGAAGAGGGATATCATTCGTCCGAAATGGGCTAGTTGAGCAATACGCAAAAACACACAATGCTACTGCATTAAAGCAAAAACATACAATGCTACTGTTTCGGGCGAGAAGACGGAGACCCGAAGCTTTCTCTCACAATGGGTAGATGCGAGTGACAATGGTCGTCACGCTTTTTCTCATTTGTTCCCCCCCCCCCGCGTCCACGTCTGTTGGCTACCGGTTTTTGGCAAAACACGAGGAACGTGACCGTGCAATCGTCACGGCCGTGTCCCGCCGTCTCTAAAGGCGCGGTGCGCTTGAAACTCTCGGATCCGCCAGTGTGGTTTTCTCCACCCAAGGGAAGCCTGTGGCGCATCCAAGCCGCAAAAAAAAAAAAAAGAGGAGAATACTAGAATCTCACGCGAACGTCAAACTCGACGAGCGTCCGAGCGGCATTGGCCGCGGCGCTCATCGTTGTCGCGCTAATTAGAAGCGGGTAGAGACGAGGGTACGGACGGGCCCGATAAGGCGACTTCACGCAATGCCACGTGGACCGTGGACACGGAGTGAATACCACACACGCGCGCGCGATACGAAGCTACGCGTCCATTCTCGTGCTACGTGCGCACGAAAGAAAAGGGGTCGGTCTCTCTCACTTGTCGTCGACTGGAAGGCGAGCGGACAATAGCAGGTGCGGAGCGAAGGCGACAGCTGCGATCGATGCTCTTCTTAGGTTTTTGGAACTCGCGTAGCCTCCCTCCCCCTCGTCTTCCTCCCCCTCCTCCTTCTCCCTCCCCTTCTCTCTTTCTCTCTTCTTTTCTCTCTCTTCTCTTTCTTTTTTCCATCTTCTCTCCTTCCCCTCTCTCCCTTTCCCTCCCTCTCTCTCTCTCTCTCTCTCTCTTCCTCTCTCTTCCTCTTCCTTCGTTTTCTCCTTCGTCACCGCCTTTTTGCGCGTCTTCTCCGCTCCTGCTTCGTCCTCTCTTCTCCATTAGTTATCTCTTTATCGAGATACGGCGCGCTTGATCCAGCTGTCAATGTTCCGCACTCTCTCCGAGTCTCTCACCGGCGTTATCCTCGCTGATTACAAGTTTGCGGTCGCGTTTGCTTACTACGCCCCGCAAACGGCTGGTTGCGATGAAATAATATAGGGGTAAATCTCGGACCTATGCAGTTGAACGCGCTCGAATTGATATTTACTTTAAATCGCGTCCTCGAGAACGAATTACACTTTCGGGAATCTTAAACCTTGTTGAAATGGTATCTCTCTCGCGCGATTAAAATCCGTTTAAAATCTGTGTATATTCGATAGGAAAGAAAGATTGCAAAAATTTGGTCAAGATTACGCTGAATGCAACTTGACATTTCTCTGAACATCTCTTGTTAGTGTGATAAAAAATTGACTTGTATCGAAACACACATACACACAAATTACTAAATAACGCATAATTATATGCGTCTGTGCTGCAAGTCGCTATTTTCTCGTACACGTTACGCGAACCGTTCGATTTAGCAACGTCTCCCACGACGCGACCGCAATACACGTTTCAGTTGCATAATCCCGACATCTAATTTCCCCCGTCGTATCGCGAGGTCGAATAAAAAAAGGAGACAGATTGTAGGGTAGGGAGAATTACGCGGGGCCCCGTAAGGGGTTGAGTGTTGTCGATTCGTGCCGTACCTTACCGTACCTCACTGTGTCATCTCGTCCGTCGCGACTCCGCACCCTCTCGAATATCATATTTTCATACCGTCGCACAGAAAGCGTTCTCTCTCGAGTGACATAACATCAACGTACATGTTTCCCTCCCCAGCCCTCCGTTATTTATCCCATTATTATAATTTCTGGATTTATGATTACATAGCGTACGGTTGAAATGGTTAATGACGCCGTTCATATACGGGGCGTGTGTCTAGAGAAACATTTGACTTTGAAGTCAACCTTACGTCAAACTTTCTAAACTTGAACTTGACAGTTTTTTTTTTTCTTTAATTTTTATTTCCTTTTGAGACACCACAGACACAGATACAATTTTAGTATATTTTTTTGCGCTACATGAACGTGAAAGTATCAAACAACCTTTCCCCGGACAATGTCTCTCCTTAAAAACACAGTAATATGGCATTTTATCCTTAAAAATTTTTCTATGGACATTTATATAATCCACGTTCTATATAGTCATTCTATATAATCATTCATATAATTCATTTATATAATCCACATTCTCTTCGAGAAGCACGTAATTAATAGATATACTTAACCAGAGTTAATAAGTGGAAAATGGCCCCGTAGGATCGGTGATCCTGTTAAGTAACGCGATTATCTCGATTTTCCATCTCGGAGTTCCTTCGAAGCCTAAGTGTTCGGGATTAACCGAACACGACCAGATAGAAGATAAAATATGACGGTGGAGACGCTTCGGGCCGTAGGGTGAGATACGGTAGGATAATGCGGCGGGATAGAACGAGGATATGGCGAGCCGGACCGTCGACATTCCGCGTATTCTCGTTTCAACCACCTCGAAAGTTTTACCTTTGCTCCCAGCACCTGGAAGCTCTTTCTAACGCGCATTCGTTAGTCGAACGCGTACGCGTTACATTACGATACACAATTTACGCAATTCTATCGTAATGCAAATCGCAAATCAATTCGCGTCCGTGAATTAATCGTCAGACAAATCAGGTTCCAAGAATTTCATTACACAAAAGCAAATCGTAACAACTAATTTCATTCGTTTGTGTTAACACGAGGACATAAGTTGAGTCCTTGACTTTATTACGATTTCTCACGCAATTTCGCGATTCTCCAGTTAGATTTGGCGCCGTCCAAGAAGTGTGACTTACCTCAAAATTTTATAATTCTAGAAGTAATATGTTTCATTATATATTTCTTATATGTATATATTTATATATATATATATATATATATATATATATATATATATATATATATATATATGTATGAAGTGATATTTTATTTTAGTTCCATAAGACACAATATGCTAAATACGTGTCATTTTCGTATTTGTTACTTGAGATAGGATATTCGAGACAAGATATTTTACAGCTTTCTTTTTCTGGTCCAGTTTTCAGTTGATTTCTGTTGAAGAAGTGTTATTCATTTTGAATTTATGCAATCATAAAAGAATGTTCTTTATAAATTTTTTGTTATACAAACAGCAAATTAATAAACAACCTTTATAACTTTATAAAATACGACATTTTCTGCGAAAAAATATATGGAACACGCGTTGTTTCCGTGTATGATATTCGGATTTCGTTCTATATCGTGCAAAATCGCAGAGAAAATTCCGATTGAAACGCCCTTTTTGGTTTTCTTTATTCTACCCCACAATACGATTCACGTGTAGAATTTTCAAAGCACATTAACAGGATTAAGAACCGTCGACACAGGGGCTTTGTCATAAAAACGCACGTTTTTTTGGCATTAATATCCCTCGGCCATTTTCTTAAGTATCCTCTGAGATAGAATAATTGCCGCCCGAACAGTAGCTCTTCTCGAATAATCTACGGCTACGTGACGTGAATACTAACGAGACTTAGATGAAGAATCGCGAAAAGGACCCAGCTCTATCGGCAAAATAGTCTCAGGGAATATCGATTTTCGTGGCCACCGTGCGTGGCCGCTCGTAGGAAGAAGGTCTTAGGATTGTCTCTTCCCATGTCTATTAAATTATGTCGGCTTCACTCACGAAAAGAATACATGAAATTAAAATGTCTCATCAATAGCCGCGTTTGTGTTGCACGTAATGACGAAGAGATTCGTCACATTGATTATCAGCTGATGTTCTTCACAGTCGTCTCTCTTAAGTATAAAACCTGATCTACAATATGCTCTTTGCGTCCTGTTTCTTGTCTTCTGTCTTTTTCTGGCTTAAAGCTTGAAGCCTGATCTACAATATGCTCTTTGCTTCCTGCTTCTTTCTCTTTATCTCTTTCTGACTCAAACCTTAAGCTTTAAGCCAGAAAAAGGTAGAAGACAAGAAACACAGAATGCAAAGAGCATATTGTAGATCAGACTTAAAAGTCAGAAAAAGATAAAGAGAAAGAAGGAGGAAGTAAATAATACATTATACATCAAGTTTTAAAGTTGATTATTAGCTGATGTTCTTCACAGTCATCTCTCTTAAGTATAAAAGGTTTCGGGAATCTCAAAATTTCTTTGTTTTCGAAAGATTACTGAGGATACTGTGAGGCGCCGTGAAGTAAGGAGATAGTTATCGAAATCTTACGAGATAGTTATCGGAATCTAAATCGTACCTGACTCTTCTCAATGTTCGTAGCATGCACAAAATAAGATACAATTGGAAAATTGTTTGTTTTGTGTGAGTAATGAGAAATATATTATATTAATATATATTTCTTATATATTATTAGTGTGTATATATTTCTTATTTAGAGAGTTATTGAATATAATTAACTTTAACTTTTACTATTAATATTATAGTTAATAATATAGTTAATAAATAATATTCAATACAAAATATATATAGAATATATATAAGAAATATGTACATGATATATTCCTTACTTACATTTTTATTTAACATAATCATTATCATTAACCATTATCATTAGATGTTCATATTCAATAATAATAAAGAAATCGATGAGGTACGATTTAGAAGAGCGTTACGACTTCAGCAACTTTCTCTCCTTCTTCTTCTTCTTCTTCTTCTTGTTCTTCATTTTACTTCGCGCGATTCCGCGCGCAATTTGATTGTTTTGCCTGATATTTAACCCTACTTGGGCGATAATTATGGGCGTTTCATTTCCCGCTCGTGGTCGGTTACCGCTGCTCGTGTTCAACGAGCTGCCCGTGTGTGTCTTCTCTCATCTTCGGCCATGTCGCGAAACCGGTGAATAACCGATTAAACTGGTCGAACCAGTCGACATTAAGCGCGGTATCGTACTGCCTTCCTCTCCGTCGTAATCGCGAAAGTTACAATTACACCCACGTCCGGTGGCGTGCAATTAGCATCGTCGTTGTCGAATGAAAATCCGGCGTATACAACTCGAGTACGGAAGCGCTAGATCTCGCGCGAGCTCGAGGGGGTCTCCCCAACGAGGACGACTTTCAAATTTGGTGAAAAACCAGTCGAAATCAGTCACGTCGACGTATATCGCGGCGTAAGTTTTTGCCAGGCTCCTAGAAACGAGGGGCATTTTACGTTTTAGGAGCGCACACGATCACCGGCCCGGCCGACGGCGACGGTCCCAGCACGGTAGGTCCATTAGGTCCACTGAGTACTCTGACCCCTTTATCTGGACGCGGCAACATGGCGGGGATTCGTAGGGGCCCGGGAAGACCGAGACTACGACCGACTGGACCTGGACACCAAGGCTATCGGACAAGTAGCGGGCATCACCATCACGGTAAGAAACTCCAGCGATTGTTGCCGGTGCCGATCAAGTCTCACCAGACGCTCGCCAGCGCCGGCAATCAGCATAAGACAACAGCTTCGCCCTCGCCACTGCAGCAGAAGCAGAAGCAAAAGCAACAACAGCAGCAGCAGCAACGTCCCAACGTCTCGTCATCGTCTTCGTCGTCGTCCTCGTCATCGTCGTCGTTATCCTCGTCGGTCACCGTCACCACCGCGAACTCAACGCAGCTGTTGACTTCGTCGTTGGGGCCGTCGGTGTCGTCCTCGAGCGACTCACGACCCTTCGGCTTCTACACGCAGCAACAGCCGCCGCGAGGACCGTCGTAGTCGCGCGAAGCGCGAGGTCGGTCACCCCCCAATACGACGACGCGACAATATGGGCGTCCCGCGACGTCGCAGCGTCGACCAAGTCCCCTCCATCCGAGGCGTTTCTTTTCCGTTTCTTCTTCCCGGCCCGCGCGATAATCAATGCACGACTAGTGCCGCGGATCGGCAGCACTATGTGCGAGGACATAGTATCCTTTGCGAAGGAAGAATCCTGTGCGCTCATCGATGTTCCGATGGACTCGATTTAGGTGTCGATGACGACGTTTGGCAGAATGGCGTCGCTTGTGAAGCGATCGCGTCGAGCTGCTCGAGGACCCGGGAACTCGTCGTGGAACTATTTGGCGATTGGTGTCGGAAACGCGAGTTTCAGACTAATGGAAAGTTGCCGATCGCGATTTCACGCATCGCCGACTTTCCGGATGTCATGAATCTCTTCCGCGGTCAATCAGTCGTCGCCACGCGACAAAACATACGGTTTCCCCCGGTCTCGACGTGAGACAACGCTGTGAATTGGTTCTCATTAGAACCAAGTTTCTCTCGGTTGACAACTTTTACACCGAGAGTGAAGTCCGGCGGATATAATGATTCAATCAAAGATTAACAAACAGATATACTTTCGAATTAAGCTTTCCGATCAATTTTTGAATCTTTGAATATATTGTTTGAAATATCTGTTCGTTAATGCCTGAACTTTCCTTGCAGTGCGAAATTTCTTGAAATGAAATCTCACTCAGAACGACCAAAAGTCACTCGACAGTGGGAATTAACTTACTTTAACTTACGAGTTAAACTCCAATTAAGTAAGTTGTGGAACCAGACTTTTCAATTTCGAGTAGAAATGAACACCCAACGACACAGAATTCACACTGCGAGTGCGAAATAATTCCATTGACTCGTCCGTCACTCTGCTCTTCAAGTGAGTTTCACTCCGAGAGATTTAAAGTCTGTTCTTTTTAGCTCAACTGTCTGAACTGATCCAATAAGTTAGAATGAGGCAAATATATTTCGCTTCACTCTAACATATTGCACTAGTTGAGGCGGTTTAGCTAAAAAAAGACATTTAGAGAACGTGGAAAAGTTTTATTATGAGTAGTCGCGAGACGTGATAATTTCTTCAATGTAAGGAAAACGGGGAATGTTTTCGGACAGCTTTGCAATGGATCCTCCGATCGGTACACACACTCTTACGTAGCTTTCAATCGGGATGCAAAAGTGCACTCTCGGGTCGCCACCGATTGCTCTCTAAGCGCTTCGAACGTTCTGTCAGACGTGGTCGCCATGTATTCGTTGTGTCGTAAATCTGACTTTCGTCGAGTAGTAGACGTTTTTTATCATTCATCTCTCATCTAGCCCTCCTCCGCTCTAGTGATAATTGCAATGTGAAAGAAAGTGAGCGTTGACAATATTTAGCTACTCGCACGTTCACGGCGATATACAAGTGTATTTATTTCGTTTATTTATGACGTGCAGGAGCAGAAATGTGGGAGAAGGTCCAGGTTAAACGTCAGAAAGTACGATCGACGTCATTTATATTCACCAGGTACTTAATTAGTCCCCGCAATCGCCACTACGGACCTTTCCTTATCCTTCTTTCATCAATCCTCTTGGTTCTTCACGGTGTAATTTCAAACATTTCGACTCGAGTTCGATTAATTGGACACACGTGGTCGAGATTCCCTCATTGGATCGCCGCGATCATTTGTTGCGAGAAGCAGGCGAATCGTATTCACCAGTATATTGATAAATCGATCGCGATTCCGTATGTGGCACGCAGATGTACATGATACATAGATATAGCTCTTGATTTTATTCTTATTGTACGATTAGCTAATCGATTTACATTAATCAATCGATCGTTTCGACGTCGTCACGCGAACGGCGACCGCCGGATGGCGAATTCGTCGACGAGCAGGCTAACGCGAAAGAGGAGGGAAAGTATCTTACATCTTCTCCCTGTCCCCCTTCCCCTTCTGCCATCACTCGCTCTCACGGCGTCATTGTACATTGTCACTAATGATAGCATTATTCCGTTACTAGACTTGGCTAGCCGATATTTTTTAAGTATATTACGAAACGTCGTTAGGCCAATTCAATTTGTAAAAGAATAGTATTTATATTAGCAATAAACACACAGGCGGAAATTCAACCTCTACAGACTTGTCTCGCAAGTTCTTCCACAGATCTCACACCAAGTTCCCGTGGTGTTCCTCGCCATCATCGCTTTCCTCTCTTCTCCCCCCCCCCCC